TTGGTCTTGAGAGAAAAGAAGCAATTTTGAAATATTTAGTGGCTAAAAATTGTTATCAATCTTGTCTCAACTTTTTAAGAAAGCTTGGAATAAGAAATGTGAATACAACTTGTTGACATCTCGTGACAGAACTTGTACACTGGCAACCTTTTTGCAGACATGTCATAAGTCAAATTTACCCAAATGGCAATGATGACACATTTTTGTTCGACCTTTGTAGCAGATGGTTACCGCTGAAAGAATGCAGTATGCGACAGGACACTGAAACTAAAGCAAAGTGCTGATTCGGGCGAAAAATATCGCTATAACAGAGTGCCTCGAAATAGAAATTAACAGTCCTTTACGATGGATATATGAATTCAAAATAGCAAGAAATGAACAAATATTTTTGAAATGAAAATTAGTGATCAAATTCAAACATCCCCGGATTCAAAGCTAAACGAATCAAACTTGAATTTATTACGAGCTTTAATGCGTGGATTCCCAGAGGTGACAGAATGCATCTGCATGGTTTTCGACCTGCAATTCTTAACACACGATTTTATTTTGTCATTTCCAGCCATTATGGCATATTTAGGTGTTTTTATGTTTCCGTAAAATTGAGAAAGACCTTCTACATTTTAATATCTAGTGTGTATATGTTTGGAGAAAACGCGACCGTATAGAAATGGCTTCTGCCTTCGAGATTCACACATCGTTACCAGACGTGCATGATGGTCGGGCAACGCAACGTGATATTTATCTCAATATTTGTGTTTTCTGAAGCCAATAAGTTTTATCCCGTTCAAAGGTTTTGAAAATTACTCAACGATACTACATTAATTATGATCCACAAATATACCCATACGTAACTTCCGAAATTTCCTTTTCGAATCCAATTTATTTTAAAATTTAAGCAGCCAGCGAGGCGCGTCTCCACGCAACGGTTTGTGTTTTGCTTTTCGCTTGAAGGATAAGCTTTAAAGGCGGATTTCCACTTACAGCGAAATCGTTCGCTAGCGAAATATTTGCATATTTTCTTTTGAATTTTAACAACATAAATAAATTAGCTCGACTTGACTGTTCTCAATTCAAAAGAAAATATGGAAATATTTTGCTGGCGAACGATTTCGCTGTAAGTGGAAATCCGCCTTAACACTAAAAGACAAATTGCGTGTGAAAGCAAAAGTTACACGTATTTTTCAACACGTACCTTCATTTGGTCTAAAATCAAGACCATATCCAATTTTTTGCAGATTAAAGAATATCAGCAACAAAGGGATGACTTTGAAAAATTTACACAGCAAACGTCTCGGTTTCATAAGCAATGCTATATTCCCTGGTTGTTTTTCTTGGTCAGACGACATGTTTACCGTCAGTCGAAACCCTTTATCTTAAATAAACTCAGCGGTTTCTTGTCCCCTTTAAAATTTTATTGATAACTGATTCAACTCGGATAGAAAACCTTTTGGGACACTTGTTTGGGTCGGCCTGTCTGAGAACATTGAATTAACGCAGTCTCGTTAATGGGATCTATTCAATTGTAAAGAAAGTTAAATATACGCCATGTTTGTTTTTTTCAAATTATCATCACGAGCATCTGTCGCCAAAACACACACTTAGTCATCTGCTATAACATCACGAAATAAGAAGTGAAAACTGCGTGGTTCGCCATACGCAAACGACAGATTTATTGGCCACGCCACGCTTTATTTTTTCAAATTATTCTTATGCATTTGGCGCCAAAAACACAATTTATCATCTACTAGCATCACGGAACGAGAACTTCGGGGTTCGATAATCAAACGGCCGATATGCAGAAGGTGGAAAAATCAACGAATTAAGCCCTGGTATTCTGTATTAAAACTTGCATCATTGAATTCAGTAGTAGGATACTTTGCCCACATATGAATGAATTATCCTGAATCAATTTCAATCTTTAGGTTTTATTTTGTCTCATTGGTAACAAGCAACAACAAATGCAAGTTTTGTTCTAATAACAATATTCGTTTCTTTATTAGAAATTTATTGTTTTCACTGTCCGGATAAGCACTTAAATATTAGCATAGCGGGACTCAATCGTCAGGCTGGCTTCGCCATTATAGCTCATTATAGATGTTTGTTATAAATGGTTTGGATAAAACCAACATAAGAAAAATAATTCGCGTCACGGCAAAGTTCTGCTTAGTGAAAAGAAAATATTTCACCAGGAGAAATTTCTCGATTAAACAATCTTTTACTCGAGTCCCCTCTCAATTTTGATCGACACAAATTGCCTGAGAAATTTGGCTCCGCCAGAAATATATCGTTTTAAGTGAAAACCTTTATTGCATTACTACTGTATTACGTGGAAATACAAATTTACACGAAGTATACAACACATATTATTAAAAACTTCAAAGGTTATATAAGGTGCATGCGTGCAATGAATATATGAATATGTACCTCCCCTCGCAGTTATCGTGCTTCCTTCTCCACTGAAGGCCTAAAAAGGTTTAGTTTAGTTACAATGTCAATGCTGTGGAATATAGTTATATATAAACTAGATGTAAAACTAGTTGATATTTCATTTAGGTCATTAAGAAACTTCTTATATCGTCGATCCGTCGGCTAAATATATAATAAAATATATTTAGTTTAGTAAATAAAACGTTTATTTTAATGCAGTGGAACTAGTTTAGCTTGCAGTTCGATGAGTCAAAAGCCTCCTACATTAGTAGACTCCCAGCAATGTTTTTTTTTAGTTGTGTCAGAAATTAAAGACGCTAAAACGACCTCGTCACGTTCAAGCTAGGGTTGGGACACTCAAGTTTCACCTGTGCTCAATATAGAATGTCATGCATACATGATGAGGTCATTGTCGCAAAATTTATTGATTTACAAATATATCACAATGTAACTTTGAATCTTTTATTTATGTGTACTGGTTAATATTACACACCGATGGCAAGACAGACAGTTTCAAACACATGCACTCACGAATTGGGCCATAAATTATCGGTATACTGAGTATACTCAAAATTTATGCCAACGAGTTATTTATTCAGTAAGCAGACACTTCTTCAAGAGCCCACTTCGTTTGACCTAAGTGGCTGAAATAATTAAAATTTAGCTTTCACTTTGTCGGCAAATTATATTTTAAACATTTAAACGTTATCTTTATAAAACGGCAGTTTATAGTTTAAACACTTTGGAACTAGTTTGGCTAACTTCTAATGTTTCTCGCCGGACAATGTCTTTCATATGTTGTGTTAGAAATCAACGACGCTGAGTGATAAACGACCCAGTTACATTCAAGCTAGAACACTCGAGTGTTATTTATTTATCATACCTCAAGTTATACATCTCAAACTTCATCTCAAATTCAAATTGTCCAAATGAAAAAGTTACGTTTTTGCCACGTGAAATTGATCGTCGCACCGCGCTCGCTAAATCGTTCAGTAAATCTATTCTTGAAATTTATTACTTTGCATAATGAATTACATTTCTCGCAATTTTAGTATTAGGAATTAACTGTATTCAATTATATATAATTTAAACTCTTATCCTAACTTTAGCAAAATGACTAAATGTTACGGGCATAATTATATATAAAATGCCCTGCAGCATTGTAATGCATCAATATATACTGTCTCAATCGCAAAATTTATAGAGCTTGATTTCTGTGTGTTTAACTTGCCTTTTTCATACTTTTTTAAATTTCTTATTCTAACTGAGCTTGTTTACAGGACTGAGAACCTACATATTTTACCAGTTTATAGCTGCAATACACACAACCTACGTTATAATTACCTGCATGGGGCCAGTTGTATAAAACTATTTAACTACACTTTGCATAGTTAAATCCTGGTTAGAAATACACAAAATCTGATTGGCCAATTCTGTCTTTAACTACAGTTAAAAGTTAACTAGTCTTTTATTCAACTGGGCCTTACATGCATACAATCACAGACTTTTTTTAAACTTATCAAACTCATTGTATGATAACATTATTAATGCCTAAAATAAACACAATACTTATCAAGCCGTTGTCTGTATCTAAAATGTACTACTGAACTAAAATATATCCGAATGCTGGAGTGAGTTTCTTGCCATTATCGGTGTCAGAACATTGCGCAATATTACCACATGTTATGTCAGACGTGATGTGACAAGATTTGTAGGAGATACCAAATCCTATGCATGAATCAGGTGATGTGCAATCATTTTGATTATTTGTGTAATACCCAATACGTGCATAATTTTCAACATATTTAATACTGAATCCTTCTTTGTTGCAATGTGGTTGTAAAGATGAGCCTGCGATCAGAGATTTCCACGCAGCCCGTCCAGCGGTTGTTTTTCGATACTGACCGTCTGCGATCAAACTGTACAGCGAACTGGCTTCATAATTCAACATCATCCATCTTCTGTCGCCATTAACGGTCATACCAAGACATAGTTTCTTAAAAGGGGTGTTCCAATAAGAGGCCAGTTTACTTTCCTTCTCTGTTAGTCCTTCAAGTCCATCTTCAACTGCATAACTTTCCTTGTTCGTCCAGTAGGGTGATCCATAGGTGAATGTTTGCTAAGACAATAATAATTGTTTATTTAAAATGGCTAAAATTATATTTTTTGTGTGCAGCGAGGCGAGTGGTGAAATGTAGGCTAAACATTGAACAGAATAAACAAAAATTGTAACGTTGATACAACTAAGAAAACTAGACGAAGCTGATCATTTGCACTTAATTTTCTTTTTATAATTTGATGCTTCATTTAACAAGAATCTGATTGATTGCTGATTGGCGCAATGAAATCTTGCCTTTTTTCCGTCCACTTTCAACACTAGTGTCCAGCCTCCAACTCCACAACCTGGAATATCTGTCATGTGACAATATGCCTTTAATGGTGTCGAGGATGTGTTTAACTGCAGAGTGTAAGTACCATTAGGTGTTGATCTAGATTAAATAATCTCTTTCAATACGTTTCTGCTAACATACACACAAGAAAAACAGTCAATGTCAGGTGTTTATAAAACTTACGGTTTCTTGAGTAACAAGTCTTTGCAAGATGAAACTATTTCACTTTCTCTCAAAACTAAATTCCCGGCATAGAACAAAAAATGGTTATATGCCGCTTACAATCGGCTAAAAGGCATCATTTACATAAAAATATGTGGTAAAAACGCTTTTATTGCACCTACTTGGGGAGTATACCTGACCAGGCTCTTTGCTCCTCTAAAAGAGAATATCAGTGCAAAATATTATTTCATATCCACTGTGTACAAAATCAAGTTAGATATAAAACCCAGCCCAGGTCGTACAATTATAGTCAATAACATTTCCGAAATCTTTTTATGTCTGAGTGCTACCCTAAATCCACAGATACATGGAGATCAGCTTCTTGAATTTTAACTTATTTTACAATAAAAGTCCACTTGCGATGAAATCATGGCTCAACAGTGTGTCTTGAAAAAAGTACCCTTTAACACCATTTAAAATACGATAAACTTTTGATGCGTAACTCGATTTCAACTTGTACTTAAGCATAACCTAATGAAAAGAACGATAAATAAAAATTGACCCTGATGAAGCCTTAACCGGCGAAACGTTTGGATATTTTATAGTATAAATTTTGCTTAAGAAGCTTTCTTTTTGTATTTACATTACATGCGGGTGCTGTGTTTATTTTGCTTATTTCATTTTTGTCTCGGATGCATTAGTAAACATAGATACGCCTATACTTACTGGTTTAATTATGACAAGATGGTTGAACTCAGAGTTGCTTGTTTCATCGTCATCAGTTATGTCTTGATGTGTCTTATTGTTGAGATCACAGCGACCTTTACCAATACCAGATGTTTTGTAATTGATTGAGGCACACGATTCATGTTGAACGCAGAGCAAACCACATTCAAACTCGCTGGCTGCTTGTTTTGTTTCCATGACATGATTCCCCAAGTATTTTTGCTTGTTTCTTCGAAAGACGACTTGCTTTGGGTATTCGTCTAGCGCGAAAAGAAGAAATTTAGATTACTACTTTTCAGTCCTTTACGATATGGGTATGGGTATATAATTTAATAATTTAATCCTTAAGCCTGATCTTATCACTTTTCGCTTGAGGGATAAACTTTGTTAAGACAAACTACGTATTTTTCAACGCGTACCTTCATTTGGTTCTTGAAAGCCATAGTCAAAACCATATCCAAAAGGATGAAGATTAAAGAATATCAGCAACAAAGGGATGACTTTGAAAAATACACACAGCAAACGCCTCGGTTGAATAATTAATTCCATATTCACTGGCTGTTTTTGTTGGACTAGAAATATGTCGAAACTCAATGCTTTTTTATCCCCTTCAAATTTTTAACGACCGAGACAATTCAATTCCAACAGAAATTAAAGACCTATTTGGACACGGCCGGGTCTTTCTAAATGACAATTGACAATTCAATTAACTGACGCAGTCTTGCAAGTTAATTTATGGGATGTATTCATCTGTGCTCAGTAGTTTAACAATGTTTTTTTCAAAATATCATTATACTAACATGCATGTGTTATGTTCGGCAAAAACAAACACACTTTTTCATCGGCGTTTTGTCTTTCATCAAGTTTCTTTAGTTATGAATAAACCCGGTATCAATGAAGTTTTATTTTATCTCGTTATATATATTGGTAACAATCGTCAGGCTGACTATGCTATTGTAGCTCATTACAGACGTTTGTTATAAACGGTTTGCATAAAAGCACACAGAGAAAAATTAATTAACGTGATGGCAAAGTTCTGCTTAGTGCTTTAGGGCCTGTTTATATGATCCCGCTTAGCCTTGACGGGACAATTTCCGGGATCCCGCTTGTAATACAAACACTAATTAGTGTTTATATGACCACTTTTCTATCCCGCGTAGGCGGAAACACGAAACACAGTAATTAGGGGGGGGGGACATATTCATATATTCATGTTAACAGCCTTGTAAAACCAATCAATTTGAAAACAAATTGATCTTGCACAACATGAATATAGAAACATGTAACCCCCCACGCAATTATCGTGCTTCTTTCTCCACTGAAGGCCTAAAAAAGTTTAGTTCAGTTACAATGTCAATGCTGTGGAATATAGTTAATATAAACTAGATGTAAAACTAGTTGATCTTTCATTTAGATCATTAAGATGAGATAAATCTTTTCGGCGTACCACTCAAAATCCATTTATTTTACCTTTATTCTTTAGATTATGTTGTGAACTAAGTTTTGAACTGTATTTGGTGAATGCAAAACACCAAACAAAGGAGTTATTACAAGATATAATGCGGCAGCTATCAACAATGTTATAATGTCAACGCCATTATAACTGAAATGAATACAAAAGAAGCTTCGATTCAAGTGTCATTTTCTTCTCGGCCTATCCCGAGAAATCCTTTCATTTTCACAATATTTTGAGATTATACAGTAAACATACTTTGTAGATGCTTTTCAGGTTTGCAAAAAAATTCTAATGCTGAAAATTTTAATGCTGTTGCATGAAGATATATCACTGAGGTTTTGAGCATATATTACGCGATATAGAAAAATACATCCTCTTATTAATAAACTTCTTATATCTTCGATCGGTCGGCTAAATATATAATAAAAACTATTTAGTTTAGTAAATAAAACGTTTATTTTAATGTAGTGGAACTAGTTTAGCTTTCAGTTCGATGAGTCACAAGCCCTTCTACATTAGTTGACTCCCAGCAATGTTTTTTTTAGTTGTGTCAGAAATTAAAGACGCTGAAACGACCCTGTCGCGTTCAAACTAGGGTCGGGGCACTCGAGTTTCACCTGTGCTCAAAGAATGTCATGCTTACATGATGAGGTCATTGTCGCATAACTTATTGATTTACAAATATATCACAATGTAACTTTGAATTTTGTATTTATGTGTACTGGTTTATATTACACACCGATGGCAAGACAGACAAGACAGTTCAGTTTCAAACACATGCACTCACGAATTGGGCCATAAATTATCTATATAATGAGTATACTCAAAATTTATGCAAACGAGTTATTTACTAAGCAGACACTTCTTCAAGAGCCCATTTCGTTTGATCTAAGTGGCTGAAATAACTAAAATTTAGCTTTCACTTTGTCGGAAAATTATATTTTAAACATTTAGTCGTTATCTTTATAAAACTGCAATTTAGTTTAAACACTTTAATTGGAACTAATTTGGTTAACTGCTTATATATGTTTCTCGCCGGACAATGTCTCTCATATGTTGTGTTAGAAATTAACGACGCTGAGTGATAAACGACCCAGTTCCATTGAAGCTAGGACACTCGAGTGTTATTTATTTATCATACATCAAGTTAGACACCTCAAACTTCATCTCAAATTCAAATTGTCCAAATGAAAAAGCTACGTTTTTGCCACGTGAAATTGATCGTCGCACCGCGTTCGCATATAGCTAATAAGTCATGTACAACAGCAAATCTATTCTTGAAATTTATTATTTTGTACAATGAATTACATCTCTCGCAATTTTAGTATTAGGATTTAACTGTATTCAATTCTGTAATTCAAACTTTTATCTCAAGATTAGCAAAATGACCCAAATGTTACGGGCATATAAATATATATATAAAATGCCCTTCTCGTAGGGCAGAAATATACTTTCTCAATCGCAAAATTTATAGAGCTTGATTTCTGTGCGTATAACTTGCCTTTTTCATACTTTTTTAATTTCTCATTCTAGCTGAACTTGTTTACTGAACTGAGAACCAACATATTTTACCAGTTTATACAATACACACAGCATTGTATGTATTTAATATATCAAAGCAAAAGATCTATACCACCAATGCCCGAAATTCGTGGTTAAATATAGAACTAAAGTTCACCTATAATTTTTCATCGAAGACATGCATTAATTGCATGGCAATGAGGATTTTAGGATTGATCTCTGTCCTTCATTCAATATCTACGATTGAAGGGATGAAAATAACCCCCTACTTCTGTTCCGCGGGTACGGGTAGCGTTATTTTATTCAATGAATATTTTTGTTATTACATGTTCTTTGCTACAAATGTCATTGAAAAAAATTACGCTTACCTGCAATACACACAACCTACGTTATAATTACCTGAGCTGGTTGTATAAAACTATTTAGCTACGCTTTGTATAGTTAACTTAGAATACACGACTCTGATTGGCCAATTCTGCCTTTAACTACAATTAAAAGTTAACTAGTCTTTTATACAACTGGGCCTTGCATGCATACAATTACAGATTTAATTTGTTTAAACTTATCAAACCCAGTGTATATGATAATATTATTAATGCCTAAAATAAATACAATATTTATCAAGCCGTTGTCTGTATCTAAAATGTACTAGTGAACTAAAATATATCCGAATGCTGGAGTGAGTTTCTTGCCATTATCGATACCACTACATTGTGCAATATTACCGCATGTTATGTCAGACGTCATGTCGCAAGAGTTGTAGGAGATACCAAATCCTATGCATGAATCAGGCGTTGCGCAATCATCTTGATTATTTGCGTGATATCCAATACGTGCATAGTTTTTATTATCTTTATTTTGTTTATCCTCAATGCTGAATCCTTCTTTGTTGCAATTTGGTTGTAAAGATGAGCCTGCGATCAGAGATTTCCACGCAGCCCGTCCAGCGCTTGTGTTTCGATACTGCCCGTCTGCGATCAAACTGTACAGCGAACTGGCTTCATAATTCAGCGTCATCCATCTTCTGGCGCCATTAACGGTCATGCCAAGACATATTTTCTTAAAAGGAGTGTTCCAATAAGAGGCCAGTTTACTTTCTTTCTCTGTTAGTCCTTCAAGTCCATCTTCAACTGCATAACTTTCCTTGTTCGTCCAGTAAGGTGATCCATAGGTGAATGTTTGCTAAGAGAATAATAATTGTTTATTTGAAATGGTGAAAATTATATTTTTGTGTGCAGCAAGGCGAGTGATGAAATTTAGGCTAAAAATTCAACAGAAAAAACAAAATTTGTAACGTTGATAAAGCTCAGAAAACTAGACGAATCTGATCAGTTGCACTTTAATTTTCTTTTTATAATTTGATGCTTCATTTAACGATGATTGCTGATTGGTGCAATGAAATCTTGCCTTATTTCCGTCCACTTTGAACACTAGTGTCCAGCCTCCAGCTCCACAACCTGGAATATCTGTCATGTGACAATATGCCTTGTATGGTGTCGAGGATGTGTTTAACTGCAGAGTGTAAGTACCATGAGGCGTTGATCTAGATTAAATAACTTTTTTCAATTCAAAGTACTTTCCAGGTAGGAATACAGACAACAAAACATATGTCAAACTTAGATGTAAATAAACTCACGGTTTCTTCAGAAGCAAGTCTTTGCAAGATGAAACTACTTTGCATTGTTTTGAAACTAAATTGAATAAGGAGGAAAAGAAATAATGCTGCCCCCACAAATATTCTTTAAAAATGTATGATAGTGATTGTCCTCTATTCATTTGTAAGACTGAATCAGTTAGACTTACCAGTGGAATATACCTGATCGGGCTCTGTGCAAGTCTGGAAGAGATCATCAATGAAATATGTAATTCAGTAATTGTTGCTTAATTCAAGTAATGAAAAATACTCATCAACAAGTATGGTTTCTATGTCACCGCTATTTCCCATATCGCTCAACTTGAAATAGATTATCTCCTTTCGATTCTATTCCATAAGTTTATCTAAATAGCATTTAGTGTAGATGGGACAGCTGATAATTAATAACCGGTTTCTAGACATTTAGACTTTCTTTGCCCATAACTACACGTTTTAGTTATAATGCAATATCGCTATGGTTTCAGCGTTTGTGATTATTTAAAATAGCTAACAACTATATGACTTACCCTAGTTCTATTAGGATTTGTCAATTCGTAGTAATCGAAGTCTTTGTGATGATGAAAATGTTGTGCAGGGATCTCTGATGCGATATCTTGGAGGAATTCACAATTTGTTTCGGAATCTGAGCATTTCTTGAAATTGGTAGATCTGCACGCTTTATTGTCACGTGCACAAAAGTAAATGCATTCTACTCCCGTTTCTGCGTGGACTTTTTCTATCACTTCGCTGTTCAAACGACGACCTTTGGAAAACAAAAGATGGGCATGCACGATGACATTGGCGCAAGATAGCCAATTTTCATGACCTAAACCGCTCTTAATACTTATGAATATGGCATTTTCATTAGTGTAAAAGTTGCGTTTATATATTTTTGACAGTGTCAGCTGACATGCTTTAGGAGGAACTAACTCACTAAACTCAGAAAAAAACAAATTTTTGTTTACCGAAATTCGACAAATTTCAGTTAAAAAAACTGACGGCTATAATTCGACTTGCGTCGAATGCATTTAAGAAATGACAGAAAGTAAGTGGCTGCTTATATATGATCCCGGTTACAAATTAAATATACGAAGTGTGAGATGATATTGCGCTAATAAAAGTCTTTAAAAGCAAACAAGCACATACATGCTATTGTGAGAATGACTACCAGGATTATGTTCTTCACTCATTTCAACCTCGAAGACATAGGCTTGGTTTATTCTCCGCTAAGCTGGATTATGAACACAGCCAAAAATGTTTCATTAATTTTTCATGTTTGTTTCAGCCCATTTTTCGCGAATTTGGTTCTCTTTCTGGCAATTTGACCTATTTTGGCGTGGGAGAAGTTGAATGTTCTGTCACTATCACATTTGGCCAAAATTTTTCGCGCGTTTGAAAAACTCAACCGTTTGGGATCGCTCTGGATAACGTTTTTTGACGATTTTAAAATCCTTTCAAAATTTTTTTCATAGTCAATTATTTCAAAAACTGACTGAATATTCCCGGACCTTTTGAGCCGAATTGCGTTCAACACAGCGAGTTCCGTTGTGCCATTTGCTTGAAGGCTGTTTAGCTTGCAGCCATTAAACACTCACAAACAGCTGCATTACACTTTGTATTCGAACGCAAAAGTTACAAGAATACACGTAATTTTCAAGATCTTACCTTCGTTTGGTCCGTAAAAGCAAAAATCAAGACCATTACCAAAAGGTTGAAGGTTAAAGATTATCAGAAACATTAATGGAAAAACTTTGAGATTCAGCAAACGTCTCGGTTGCATTATCAATGACAATGTTATATTCACTGGGTGTTTTGGTTGGGCAGGCATGTTGGTATATGTTGGTATTGTTAGTCCACACCTTGTATCTTGAATTGGGTTGGTATATATACACTATTTAACTCCAACAGGAAGAACTTGTTGTAGCTATATTGCGTCTAATACTTCTCTGATAAACGCGCTCTTGTCAATGGCCAATGGGACGCATTCACTAGTGTTTGTTTCAAGGTCAATTAAGTCGCACGATCTATGTTTATTATTGCAAATCATTATTACGTTCGACGAAGAAGAATGCGCTGCGTTTGACGCTTCCCATCGAGACGTCGCTGATGCATGGATGCTATGTCATTTTTAGATTTTTGGATGTCCTAATTTCCCGTGTGCTAATTTCACGTGCTTTCCATGTCTTTCATGCATGTACGAATTTGCCGCATACCTGCTGTAATTCGTCCAGCTGCAGGTTTGCAACAAATTTACGTATATGAATAATCATCAGCTCTTTCATTACTCGACGTGTGTCTGAGAAAACCAAGATCCTGTTAAAAAGATCGTGTCCCCGAATATAAAGAAATTTTTATTTCTTTGTGTTAATTTTGTGAATATTTGCAATCTAAAATCTCCAGTTTATAGAATATATACAAATTCATCTGCGCGATAGGTCGCGACAATACGTATTTATAATACTCCAAATATAGGAATAAGTTAATAATTCATTACTAAAGCGCTGTGGTTTTTGTAATCTTTTTGACGAAACCGCCGTCCGCAAATTGTGAATGGAGTTTTTTGCATTGCTTCTTTGCTCGAAGATAGAGCACGAAACATACCATCGTGGTTGTGAACAATACGCCGATTAAAACCAGGACTATGATGCGAAATTTCAGTTCCATGGTCAGATCATTTGCCGATAGTTTTCTTTCCTCCGTTTGTTCATACGTGCCGTTCAAAGTCGAGTTGTTTTCTTGTTGGAAGGACATTAGTCGATTTGTTAAATCTTTATTTTCGTTCTCCCTTTGAGCCAGCGCGATTTTCAACTTCTCGCACTTGACGCGAAGTTCCAAAACGGTTCGCTCCAGATTTTTCAGGCGCTTTTTTGGGTCCATCGGCGGTTCGCTGGCGTAGGGAACACACTCTTCGTCTATCACGTCACTGCAATGTCGAGTTGAGTAGAATACGTGGCGTGGAACGTGGGTTATGTTCGTATTGCGACGGATAATCTCCGATAAGGTCAAATTATTCACGGCATCGATTTCCTAATAAATAGAATTAGGAAATTTCATCCGGGTACAATTGTAATATATTGAAAAATTCTCTGTGTTACACATCGTCGCATTATAACTAAAATAATTGAAGCATTCATTTATTTTTCTACTTGTTTCAGGCAAGTTTTGCTGATAGCAACTGCACTAACTAATGAGTAACCTGCAACTTTCGTTGCTAAAATAGCGTTAATTTTGGATCACAGAAATTTCTTGAGATTAGGGTGAACTAGACTTGTTTAAATGATGTAATATAACTTCAGGACTAAGGATTTCAGTAATAGATCGCTATATGTTCGCAATAGATCGCTATGTGTTTGTTTTCTTTTAAGCAAAAGAGAAGAATGAATTAGTACCTCAGGTGATAGGATCTGTTCGTACCAGAATCGATCCCCATCGCGAATACGTAGGAACGAATCGAGAATAATCCTACAAACGATACAACATGTTGTTATTTTAACAGCAGCAACATTGAAAATACGGATTTTTCAAGTTCTAGCATAAAACTCGTGACTTTGTTTGAATCGTGAATCTTTATTTTGATCGGTAAATATAAATGCAGATATTTACTTTCTGAATGTCGGTCCCAGTTCTCCTCTACGATGCTCCTCCGCCAGACCACCGACCCACAGATCAACATTATCCACGTATTCATATAATTTTTTCAGTTTTGATACGATTTCGCTGTCACTTGTTATCTCGTCAAACGACTTGTATTCTGCAATGAATTGAAAAAACGAGTAAACATCAGTGGCCAGTATGAAAGCTGAATAGTGTTTTTTTCAATTGCTTTAAAATCACTTGTTTTTTGCTATAACTTCAATTAATCTTAGTATATTCCTAAATCGAGGATCTATTGTTGGTCCCAAAGATGAAACTTTGTCGCTTTTCAAGCATTTTTAGAACGGTTGAAAAATACTATCAGGTGGATAGTTTTATCTGGCTTTCGTGTAACCGTTCCCAGTTACCCTGATTAGGAACAAGCCGACAGTCATAATTCAACAATAATTCCTACTAACAATCTTACTTGGCAAGCCAACGCTCTCTCGCACAGTATTCAGATCAGCCACACCGTGATCTCGACCACGCTGAATATTGATAGAGGTCAGATCCTGACCACGACGATTAAATGCAAACAAAAAACTTCGCACCTCGTCAACCATCTGTTCAAACGAGAACGAAATGCCGTTGCTATTCTCTAAAGTTTTTTCTTTCGAATGTGTCAAAAGTTATTCTCTTTAGAACGGCATACAAATATGTTAGTTTGAAATGTTTTGGGGCAACGGAACTTTCTCAGAAATGCGTTGTCAACAAACCGTTGTTGATCGGTCACAACAACAGTTTTGTTCAAGTAGACTGCATGAAACAAATAAGTCATACAATAAAAAGGTGCAAACGTCTTGATTAAAGACTAGTTTCCACTCAGGAAAAATCTCCTTTGGATTCGGAACGAACAGGAAAATTTCCTTTGTCGGCGAGTTCTCAGGTGGCGTTTATACAAAGGAAACTTTCCTGTCCTGTCCGATCCATAGGAGAATTTTCCTGAGTGGAAACTAGCCTTAATTCGGGCTATACACAATCATGAACTTACCTTGGTATCAACCTGTTGAGCGGGTTGGGCAAAGGATCCGCGGAGGATCGGATCAATACCACCCTCGTGGATGATTCTTTCAGGTGCAAAATACGCCTCTCTCAGTTGTAAATGTCCTTCGGGAATTGCCTCACCATGTTCGTCAAGACGCCACAGCAAACTGTTTATTTGGCTGTGGCCAAACCTATGATGCAGAATATAGGCTACGATTTACCAGGTCTTAAACCATCTCAAAACTGTCACCAAGACGGTTCTGTAGACTGAGAATTACTTTTTCTGATCCCGATCAGACTTTTATCAGGCTATGCGGGAATCATTTTTGAGCGGGTTACTGCCCTGATTCTAAAGCACCAATTCCATTGTTATGGGTATTAAAGGTACTAGACGGTACAATAATGGTATCAGAACAAAACGGAGGATACATGTATGTGTTTCTACTACAAACAGGTAAAAAGTAATTTCCCTGTTTTTCTGTCATTTTAAAAGAGATCTGTGGGAATATAAAAATACCTGAATGCAGCTGTGGTCATAGAGTGGTCAGTTGTGGCATCGACTCTATCGTCATAATATGCGTATGATGGTATATCTTCTGATCCTCCAAGGAGCGAGGGTAGATACTCTCGAAATGTTACAGCTTGCAGTTCTGCAATGACCATCTTTCTTGCATGCTGAAAAACCTCCTCATCATTCGCCTAAATCATGTAGAAAATAACGTCAATCTTGCAGTTAGAAATATGTCATAAGTTTCATTCGAAAGGTGGTTAAACATATTCTATATTTTTCTTTTTTACAATAATAAAATGCAGGGTTCTTCCCCTCGCATAGTCGGAAAAGATGTTTTAAAATTCACAGCAGGAATCATCAATTTGTTTGCAAATATTTTTTTCGAATAACCAATAAATAACTGGATAAGTTAACCATACTAACATTCGGTTTATTTTTGAGATATTCATCGCAAAGTCTGTTGTGTTCACGAACAAAGACCGTATGCACGGCTGTAAGTCCAGGCTGGACGTTAGCACGCGTGTCCCCAGCCAAGAAAAGCCGTTTCGTCAAACGACCAACATCGTTCGAATTCGCCGCACCAAATTGATTTAACTGTAGAGAGAAAAGTAGAAGTCATTATAGAAATTATTGGGGGGAGGGCGCCCTTTTTTGCCCCTCCTCCCCCCTTTGCCGGCACCACTAGCCTCTATATGCTGATATGCATCATCACTGGCATCATGGCCTATTCGAGCAACCGATGTTCAAAGATCGTCAAATGATCGTCAAATGATCGTCACATGATCGTCAAATGATCGTCAAAACCACAAATACTCAACACAAGCTCGCAACATTAATTGACATACAGGCAGCATCTCGTGTTCCCAAATTTTCATTTTTCCTTCTGACAATGTTCGGAGTACTTTGTTTCTTTCAGGATCGCTTCCATAAATCATGTTGCCATCGATGTAAGATGATATAAGATTGACTTGTTCTCTTGGAGTGCCTGCCTCGCGGCCCGTGCATCTATAAATAAGATTATAAACTCGAGATATCAGTTGTATGAAACAAGACAACAATTCCCGGTGATATTTCGACTTCAAAGTCCTTCTCAAACGAGTGGGAATATTTACAAACTTGCTATCATATATTATTCCCCGAGATACAGGAACTGTCAGGAAGAGACGACGTACAGGAAAGTAATGCTGCACTATTTACAAATGATGCTGCCGACTTTATGAGGAGACAGCGAAAATTTGCATTCTTGGTATATCTTTAAAGCAACCAGGCCCATTTTAGCCACGTTTACTATCAAAGCCAGATGGTTTTTATTAATAAGAATGAAACTTCACCTGTTGTAAATAGATCTTACAAATGGTAGATATGATGAATCGGAATTTCCAAGATCAAAATAGACGTCTCCCTATGAGTAATAGCAGAGTTGACGGATTTATAATTTCGTGCAAGCGAGAATATCCCTCTAGTGCCCAAGGGTTTCCCTGTGATGAGTATAAATCGTCTGGCGTTAGACAGAGTAAAATACTAAAGTGTCACAAAGGCCACTAGAGGGTTAAACAGATAGTTTATTAATCACTCGTCATTACTTACCTTTGGCACAGTTATTGGCAGCCACACATCGTTCAGGTTGTTTTGGAATTCAAATCTTGGCATCATGGTAGTTAGGTCGGTATCATGACTTAAAAACTTAAAAATGTAGTAAAAAAGTGGTAAAACTTCTTGTATTAATTGGTTTAATTCTTGGAGACAATCGATCTTGGCATGTGTAAGCGCAAAAAAATTGCTAGAAGATTCAAAGGAATTTACAAGATCGTGCGTTTAGTCGTTTGAACCTACTTGTCCAAAGTGAACATGAAAATCGTTTATTTTTCGTTCACTGATGATCGATCGACTTTGTCGAAACAGTACATTGCTAATGAGACGTGGTGAAGGTCTTGTGGAGCCGTAACCGCTGTACTCTTGAGTATAGGGGCAGGTATCGTTGAGCCGTTGCTTTGCAACGCAGACACTTGCAGGAGTGGCTATTCCGTCGGAATAAGCCGGCGACGTACGGCGGCGAAGATTCTCGCTCACTGCACCCCACATGACGTGCTGCTTGTTGTTCGATACACCATCGTATCTCCTGTGATGGAAGTTGTGGAAATATGATGTGGAAGTATGAAATATGTAGATTGAAGTATACGGAAATAGAATATAAGGAGAAAAATATAGTAATTCACTATATATAGCTGTTATTGAAACTAGAATTTGTTCCCTCCCGCGGGTGGTGTCGCAGCTCCTCGCCAGAATGATTTTCATTGGCTGAACTTTACAATACGTTTCTGTTTCAACCAATAGCATAGCTTCGTTCTTTAGAAAGCATAGAAAAGCATTATCCAATTGGACGAAAGCTTCCGAGAGCTGCGACATGTCCCGAATTTGTTGACCACCTAATGCGTAGTTATCATACAGGTACCAACCTTTCGTTAGTCCGTCGTAGACTTTCGTGCTCAATCGGCTTTCCGTCCTTGCAGTTTTCGTTCACTTCGCTCACGTATATCGTTGCTGAACGCTCGACACTCACAGAATTACTGTTGTTCGGAAATATTTGCACTTTGTAGGAAAAATCTTGTTGTTCAAAGTCCTCGAGCGATCCGACTTGGTCCGATAGGAAACGAACTGTGCGGTGACCTGAGTTTATCTCAACTCGCCCTTGTTTTGGCTTTGAGAAATGAAAATGAAGGAGGAAAGTTTAAAAACAAATGTGTGCAGGCCAGTGAACAGTGAACTGTTGGTAATTTCGTGATATTCGTAGCCTTCTTTAATTGTATCATGCAAATCCTAGGGCTTTCTTTAGTTAAGGAGTAGACTGACAATACTCAATGAAAACAGTTAAGTTACAACTTCACCTGCTTTGTAATTTCGGTCATTTTCAATGTAGAACAAGATTCCAGCGACGAGTAATTGGTATGTTTGATGCCGCTAAACAAATAAAATGAACCTATGTATATGAACAATGTAAGGAAATCCGGACATTAGAAGACCTTTTCATGGTGGGATATAGGAAGGTTAAGAATCCCGAATCCAAACCTAGGAATCCGAAGTTTAAGAATGCGAAACAGGAATAAAAAATGCGATTCTGGAATTCAATGAAAAGAACTGAAGATCTATTGATCGATAAGATTTCGAGGTGAGAAAGTTTTTTCCAAAATTTAATTTTCCAAAGTATATCCGAAGATGAAAGAAAGAAATGTGGAATCCGAAGTGGATCCCCTACCAGAAAAACGATAATCACATCAGATGAATGACAAAAGCATTACCTATCTGGTTGAACGACTTGTAATTTTGTGTTGACTGGGACGTTGTAAACATAAAGCTGGGATCCCGTTGCGGGCCACTTTACATGCACCGTGACGTTGTTTGATTTTGAACCCAGACCAAAATGAGCTATCCTTTCACTTTGTGCTAAGAAATGTGTACTTGAACCGATTTCTTGGGTCTAATTTAACAAAAAAACATTTTCATTGAATACAAAGTGATCAGCTATATATCAACACCGAATATCAAACACCCGTGGTATTCTCTACCATGTCGATAGTCAGTTTCTTCTGTGGTGAAGTACAATGTCACTGCTTGCTTCAGGTGTTGGCAAAAATTCGGACTAAACTGTCCGTCTAAACATCATTTACTGATACCTGAGTAAAGTTGATACTTTTTTGTTTCACGTGAATTCTGGCTCCAAGACTGTCGCAAAGTAATCGTGGTTCTTGTTGACATCTATGTTCGCACAAATTGATAGTATAAAAGAGAGGTTGTTTGAAATGAGGCAACTATTAGATAGTTTGAGACCTCTATGCATGCGTGAAAATCCTTAGAAATAGAACGGTCGCATATCAAATGCACTTACTTATGCATGACCTTGATTTTGATCCAAAAGTTAGCTTTATTTCCTCCTCGATTCTCGTAAATCTCTGGATGGCCAATGTTATTGCAAATCACGATATCAACATCCCCGTCATCTAGTAACATATATGCAATAAATGAAACTGAATATCCTTGGGTTTCATCCACGGTCAATCACAACAACATTGCAAATGCATGACTACACTACATGATATATTGCAACATAAACGTGATATTTACCATCAAAATCCCATTTTAACAAGCCTCTTCCCTGTTTTGTCGTGTTCAACCCAAGTTCTTGCGAAACCTGTGAAAAAGAAAAGAATTACATATTTGTAAATCCATCTTAGCACAACAGTTATTTATTCGAGCTTCTTTTTAACATGTAGAAAATCAGGATAATATAAAATAATGATCAATTATGCAAGCCGTTGTAAAATTGGGCAAAAGAAGTCTTCAAATGAATATTCGTATAAAATTTCCTTGAGATGCACTTCAAGTTGTATACTAACTTCGCTAGTCTTTCCATCGTATCCTTCGCCCAGATTTTTCCACAATCGCATTCGCTTGCTGTCAAAATGATCATCTGTTGTTGTTGTTGGAAAATCAACTCCTACCGAGGAAAAACCAGCTCAATAAAGCAGCAAGTAATAGTCTAAAGCCGAGGCTCATGGTTGGCAGTAGAATCATGTCCTACCGTTGGTCATGACAATGTCTTGATAACCGTCGTTATTGAAATCCAAAAAAGCTGCTCCCCAACCCCAACTTCCGTCGGCAACTCCAGCCTAGAATTAACGAAGAAAGATTTATATTAGGGAGCAAAACAAACGAGAATTGAAGAAAAGAAAGAGAAAATTAAACGACCTAGTTGGAAGGAAATTTTAGAATATCAAGAGCTATAATTAAAGGACACTTCGCCCAGCGCAGATAACGCATTTGTGTACGTTGTGTATTTGCATCACGCAAAAAGAAACACCCACTTTCGCCTTCAGAATGATTGCGATCGAAATAGCATAACAAATTTTTAGGCTACGAATTGAAGAATGATGCACTGCGAATCGATGCTGTCATATTGCAAGAGACCTCTGCTTTATTTAGGAATGGCTACTCTATTCTTCTGTATACTGGCAAAAGAATAACCTTGCTTAAGGTTTGTTTTGTATATTAAGACAGCACTTAATTCACCTTGCTAGTTATGTCATCAAACCGCCTAGAACCAAGATTTTGATAAAGTCGATTTCCTTCATTATCAAACGTACAACCAACTTGCCAGCAATTTACTTTATCGTCCTTTATTGCGGTTGAAAACCAATCCATTTTTCCATCATTATTCCAGTCACCGATGGCGTGTCCCATTGCATCCTGTAAACGGAATCATCAATTGAATCTATTCATTGGACGTCCCAGAGCTCAGAGTGATATTGGAGTCAGTCAGAGACCAAGTTGTGAAAAAACATTAAGCCATCATCCTTACCTACCAGTTTCAAGGCCCCGGTGACTGACAGAAGTATAACAGTATATATTGAAAAATTGGTAATCATTTTCTCTTCCCAATCTTGAATTATTGCCTACCTGAAACGCTCTTAAGCCACAATACTCAGTGCATTCCCAAAATACGCTGCCCAAATTCCAAAACATGCGACTTTCGCCAAAATCGGCTGTCACGAGCAGGTCTGCAAGACCATCGTTGTCAAAATCCTTAAAACCAGAAGAATAACTTTGCACATAACTAAAATGGCAGTCCTTTTAGGATGGTCTATTGACAGTCCTTTTAGGATGGCACGATCGTCTATTCTTAACAAGGCCCAGAAAATTTGTAATAAACTAGTTTATTATGTAAACATTTCTACACTGGCTCAATAGCATTTCAATTAAAACTTACAGTAAACGATGACGCGAAAGAATAAGTTCCTGAACCTAAGTCATATTCCTCCAAGTTAAACTCGTCCATATTTACACGGTACATTTCCGTCACATCTTCGAAATGCCTGTTCAAAATAAAAAGTGCAGCTTTGATGCACTACGCCGACAAATGGATTTGTGAACTGGGCCAAGATCTAAACAAGAGTATATCCAAACATTTTGTAAACATTTTGTATTCTTGTTTATCATTTTGACTTGCCCTGCTTGGCTTTAACCAAAATTATATATTGATTTTGTATGTCCTAGCAATTTTTGCATAGAAAACGATCAGTTTCCTAAATTGACTCTACAACCAAGGTAGTGTATTCTGCTGTAGTATATTTAGATGGTGCTGGGCTAGCTCTCACATATTACTCGAGAAGTTCAATCTTACCCAGGCGAAACGGCACCCTTGTTCCGTAGAAGACGGGAAGCTGATGGCTAGAATATATAAAAACAAGTCAAATAACAATTCAGAAAACAAATTGCATGTCAGGTCGTTTTAAGTAACTTCAAGACAGAAAAAAAACAAGCGGGCTGGTTGTTGAGGATGAGAATGCATCATGGTATGAAATGACTGTAATAACTCGCTATCCATGATTAATGTTTCTCAGTTACTGGTATAACAATAGATTTTCTAGTAATCTCTGCAAAGACGGCTGTTCGTCCGCCATAACGGCGCAATTCTTGGAACTTTGGGTTTGCACTAGTCCTTCAACCCACCTTGAAATTGGCTCTAAAGGGGCCCCCATCGTTCCATTTTACAAAGTGTTCAATATGACTACCTTTCCTAGCGAATGTGGTATCCATTCCGTGACGTATAAATCAGGGTAACCATCGTTGTTAAAATCTCCAAAGTTGGCCGACATGCCTGCAAGCTTTCGTTTGTTAGGAAATTGCAACGAACAATTCCTCGTCAGAGCTTCTTCTTCGAACTGGCCGCCATAGTTAATAAACAGATAATGGCGTGTATCACCGACAGCCGTCACGTAAAGGTCAAGGTCGCCATCTTGATCCACGTCAGCCCAGGCTGCGCCATTGGCGTAACGCGCAGGACCTATCCCAGACTCTCTTGTAACATCCGTGAAAGTTTTATCACCTAAGTTGCAAAATGAGGACAGTTCAAAATCACAGAATTAACCTAAAAATGTATTCCTATTGTGATTCAGACCAACTTTCTTAGAAATTCCGTCAGGAGAAGATTCTAGGAGATGGGGAGCAATTATTATATCTCGCCTCACCCTATTCGTTCTATGACCCCAACCCCTTCCTCACAACTTGGGGCGACTGCACCTCTGGGTAACACCGCTGTGCAAAACAAAAATGTGACTTTTACATCTTAATAGTATTTCCAACGAATCGCCGAGGGACATGGAAAGTTAAGAGCGAGGTATACAAGGAACAGGGGTTCATTTTCAACACGATTTTGATAACTTACCGTTGTTTCTGTATAGCACGCTTCGACTATGAAAAACGGCGAAAAATATGTCATCAAGTCCATCGTTATCGTAATCGCCAACCGCTGCTCCGCCGGTTAGGTGCTCGGGGACGCAGAACTCCCCCTCCAGTTTTACGGTCTTGGACGAGTTCAGTCTCGGAATAATGAAATCCATAATGCACCGCGGGCGAGTTGCCATGGAATTTCTGTGCGTGTGTTGTATGCCAAGTTTCTAGAAAACGTCAGGTTTTTGTTAGTTAGACGGCGAGAATCCTAGCGGTTAAAACAGGGGAACGGTTATTTCAAAGTAGAAATCCTTTGGCGATTTGGTGTATTATTTTAGCGCACAGCGAAAAACTTCAATTTGTCAGACGAAAATCAAGACCATCCCCATGCAGCCTTATCTGATTGATTTAAAGTCAGAGCACGAGGAAAAAAGCATTCTGATAACATCTGAACTAATCATATGAAGATTTAAATCCTGAATTATCAGCAAGCATTTGTCTCAGGGGAAAAATACTTGAAGGCGTCCTTTAAATTTTTCTTGGTTTGTACATTAAATGGGGCAAGTTAGAACAGATTTTATTAGTCGTTAGCACCCAACAGGAAAGGTCAGGTCAGTAAAATACACCCCAGCTTGCGTGGTTTCTCAGATTAGCACGTTCTAGCATATAATCTCTTGAGAAGTTTTCATAATATAGGAACTAGATTACAATCGGATTATTTTTGTAGAAAAGAATAAGAACAAACTTGTGCTTATACGTATTTCCCCCCAATTTCCTTGTGTTTCAGAGTTCAAACCTTATAAAATGATACTCTCCCACATGATTGTTATAAAAACTTTTGATTGAAAACTTAAATTCTTTAACTATGGTTCACAAAAAGCCTTATACGCGCTTATGAACTTGGACCAGTAGGAATCATGCGAATACAGTATCAATATCAATAGCTGTTCTTTAGAACCACATTTTGTTGCAATTTCATTGGTAATTTGAATGGCGAAATTAAGCAGTCACGCGACACAGCGACCCCAAGTCCCCCCCCTGTTCTTGTGTCTATATTGATATATTTTTACCTTTGCTATTTCAACAAATGTAATTCTCTTTGTCGAGGTTTTTCTAATTCGCTCACTCAATCTCGTCTGGTTTTCCGAGTTAAAACTTTCTCTTTCGCTGATAATGCAGGAACCACGTTTCGGTGAAAAAATTCGCGTATTTCTCAAAAGTTGCAAATCATCTAATTTCGCCTCGTATATCGCAGATTTGTTCGCCCATTCCGAAAGACTTTCAACTATTTGCGACACTTGGCCTGAATAGTGAATCTCAAAGCGACTGCGTGCATTCGATATAGTCACAGAAGACTGAACAACATTTGAGTCGAGCAATATCACGATTATCACGATATAAAATAATAGCACTTTAATATTCTCCATCGTCGCTCGTCAGTGTGTCGTGATGTACATATCAGTACTTGTCCGTACAAGATCTACGATAATCTAATTAAGGATTCATGCTGTATATTAATAAATGCTAGCACCTGCATCGATATTAATTACACTAAAACGACCTGTCATCAACTGCTGGGAAATTTATAATCTACTTTATCTACGACATGTCTTTCAAAACATTGAGCCAAACCGGAACTCGTTACTAAGGCAATTAAATGCGTATAGTTTAGCAATTATAATTTTAAATACAAATTGGACCAACCAGAATTCAATTGAGCTGCTTCACATTCTTCGAATTCTAAATTTGAAACAGGACACGAGGATTTGTTGTTTCTATCACGCGTTATCAGTGTCAAAAGTTTGTACAAGACTCCGCAGCTTTAAATATGCAATTTATAAACTCTCGAGAGTAGATACGTGACTCGGCCGTTTGAACTATAACACCCGCATTCCTAAAGCCTGCTCATATTCGAGACATCAAGCTGACAGATGATAAAGAATACAGATAGACCACAGTTACTGCGAGACACACTTACATGCGTAAAAAACAGGTGGTTCTGGGAAAATTTTGACAAATCAAAAGCGGCAATTCAGAATCGCATACGCCATACCGTCGCCGTCACCAAGAGACGAACATTGTAGATAAAAGCAACGGCTCAGATAAAAGTCAAACTTCAATGCTTATTAGGAGCATTGCAGGCATACCGTGCACCTTTATCCCTTGAAACTTGACGCTGATGCAGGTGACGATATTTTCTCTGCGAGTTTCTCTCAATATTCTATCGTTAACAACCTGGTAGAAACTTCGTTTCATGCTGAAGCCAAGGCATTATACTGCATCTTTCTCAGCATCCTATCTTTTACAAATGATAATCGAAAATATTGTTGCATCAAGTTGGATGTTTACGAACAGAACGCGCGGTGTAATCCTCTTTTAAACTAATCCTTCTCTGTCAACATGGAATCCGCAAGAAAAGGCAGTATTTTTTAGGCATTAAAGTTGTTTTCTTTCAGCTTTTAATATCAAATTATCAACAGTGTTCCATAATAATGCCAACAATTACTAAGTTGTGTATTCACCTTCAAAAAATCGACATTTAGCACAATATTTATGGGCTTGAAATCAACAGCTATGTACATGTTTTTCTAACTTACTTAAATCTTCTCTTTTACGTCATGATAAAATACTTTCACCATGCAGGATTTAAACCATCAATTTGGAAGTTGCTAGACAATTGTCGTCACCCGTATACTTATTTGCTTTTGGTAACTGGTGATTACGTGGCACGAAACATGCTTGCAACTTTACACAGGACAAGCATTTGACCATTAAAACAGCGTGGTTATCCATATCAAAATATTTGACATCATAACCAAAGTGTGGTTATGTTGTTTAATGTTTGTATATGAGCACGAAGCATACGAAACATACTTGCAACTTTACGTAGGACAACTGCATTTCACCATTAAAACAGCGTGGTTATCCATATCAAAATATTTGACATCATAACCAAAGAATTGTTATATTGTTTAATGTTTGTATATGCACAAAACATGCTTGCAACTTTACATGGGACAAGCATTTTACCATTAAAACAGCGTGGTTATCCATGTCAAAATATTTGACATCATAACCAAAGTATGGTTATACTGTTTAATGTTTATATATGAGCGCCAAACATGCTGCAAACTTTACATAGGACCAGAATTAGACTATTTATAGCCTTTCATCGGGACCACCATTTTTGGTGGCGTATATTGAACTACAGTATTAAAACCGGGTAAAGAAACACGGAATGCGGCAGAGATTGCAGCACATAACTTACAAATTTGTATTTCATTTTTAAAGTTTCTAAAAGTTTCAGAGTTTGCGGTTATTAGGCATTAGTATTACTTAGTTAAATAAAAAATTCCTACCCTCCAAGATGAAACAAAAATTAAATTGTAATCGCAATTCCAAAAAATCAGCCTCGTACCCAGGCGTTTTCAGTAAAATATATAACGTTGCATTCAGTCTTTAATAGAGGTCAGTCCATTGCAATAAAAAATTCCATTTCACTTGTTTTTTTTATCGAAATTTGCATAAAAATGATAAAATATGGAAATTTCCATCAAATTGGAAACCCTGCAGTATGGCAATAATCTATAGAATTTATTGGATCACTTTTCGTTAGATTTAGGCATTGACAGGGCTATGCCTTAAAGAAGAAATCGTTTAAAATAGAGTGATCAACAAACAGTAAACAAATCTACAAATGTAGTAATTTGTAAGAAGAATGAAGGATTGTTTTAAGGAAACTCTACTGTAACAAATGGAAGCATTCGTGGGAAGGACCGAAGGAAGCGTTGACAAATGAGCAAGAATTGTTCACAAATTACTTTAACATATTTTGAAAGAGAAGCTTAGAAACCTTGGTAAACAATATTATAACTATAAATTTTACGTTATGAGCTTCGCTAAAGCACTGCCTTCTGCAGTGCGTCAGCAGATCAGCGAGGGGAAACTGCCCCGTGCAACATACGGTTGGTGTGTTGGTCATTTGCAAGCAAATATTTCGATTGTGCCATCGACAGTGGCTGATGATTTTGAAAGATTTTGTAACCTCAATTCGAGTGCTTGCCCTCTCCTGTATCGGAGCAAACCAGGCGAAGTTACTGCTCCAACTTTGGCTAAGAATTCAGACATAAGGTGAGAGACATTGCACCATTTAATATATATTTGAAAACATTAATGCTAGGAAGTGATTAATTGACCAGCAGCTGGTCATATTTCGAGGTGTACTTGACCGGCAGCCGGCAGGGACCGGTTGTATATACCCAAGGCGTTTAAGCTAGACGCCGTTTAGCTCCTATCCACGGTAATCCACCGTATAGGTTTCTTATCCAGTTAGTTAAACCACAGGTTAAACGCTCGATAAAATTTCGTTGCATGAAGGCCGCCGTTGTTTAGTACCGCGTTCGACTAAACGGCGGATAACTCACTAAACTCGGTGCTTTCACAACCAATTTCCTTAGGGAAAGGGCAAAAATTCCTTATATTTCAATCAAATTCCCTAAACTCGTAAAATTACAACCAGATTTGTTTACAAAGTTTTTCTTTGTTGTTTTCTTTAGGAAAATAAAACTGATCATGATAAACAAATCATGTTCGCATTTTAGTTGCACGCGTGTGTGCTTTGGTCGATATTTTTTATTTTTATCCTTTTTAGTCCTTCGTAAAATTATTCAAACAATTTTATTTCACATAAATTAAAAAATTTCTCAAAAACCTAAATTCCTAGAAAGATCCTCAAAACTTCAGAATTCCTATTTATAAGGAATTATCCTTAAAAGTGACTTACTTCAAATCTATCCGGAGTAAACAGGTGAGAACCGGTTATTTCCGGTGGTTGCAATGCGTCCGAAGCGCGGGAAATTTTTAAAGCATTCAATGGAGGCTAAGCGAGCGAGAAAACCAAACTTTTCTGCCGCGGAATGTGCTCTAATTCTTCGGCTTGCTCAGGAAAACATCAATATTATCCGCGAGAAATTTTCAACCACCGTTGGAAATAAGAAAAAAACCGAAGCTTGGCAAAGAATATGCGATCGGGTGATTGCGCTTGGGTTGGCAAAAAAGAACTCCGAGTGGGTTAAGAGAGAAGTGGCGGGGGGGAGGTGAAAGGCGAGGCAAGAAAAGACCTTGGGAAAGACAAAATTTCACATAAAAAAACCCCAGCTGCCGTTGAAGCCAACAGTCCAGCGAACACTCTAGTTGTTTGGGGATGAACCTAGCTTTTGTGGGATATAAGGGGAGATTGAATCAGGTTAGTAGTGTCATGCGCAATTTGCGCATAATTACGTAAATTAAGGCGGATTTCCACTTACAGCGAAATCGTTCGCTAGCGAAATATTTGCATATTTTCTTTTGAATTCGGAACAGTCAAGTCGAACTAATTTATTTATGCTGTTAAAATTCAAAAGAAAGTATGCAAATATTTCGCTGGCGAACGATTTCGCTGTAAGTGGAAACCCGCCTTTAGTGAAATATATAAAAAGAAAGGCGATTATAAACGTTGTGGTATGTAAATTTTTAATATACCGGCTATAAGCATGTTAGTTTGGAATGTTTAAATGGCTTACAAAAGACGTTCGTCACATACTATCTTCTTTCGACCGTGTAAATCACTACTACTTTCTGCGTCGGTCGTGAAATATTTTACTTTGCATTGATATGTTCATATGTTATAAACACACACACATATTTTTCGAAGATAAGTACATTTGTATAGTTTTTAGCTATAATTTTTATATTCAGTAGTCAGTGCCTGGTAGGCTGGTACTGCATTTACATATTGACATAGCCACATAGGTATTTAGCAGTTCTCAAATATGGTGTTCAATTTCTAGTTTCTTGTAGTCAAATATTGTTTGATATTTGTAGGAATAAATACAAATCAGGATGCCTAGATTATCAAACCATAGAGCTCCCTTTTGCAGAGGCATGTTCAAGTCTCCTAATTCCCCCATCTGCTGTTGGTGGTGTGCCACCATCATTTCTTGAAAAGATGCCACGACCAGTGGTAACAGTTCCTTACCCAGCAACTGTTACAGCAACCCCAGCAGATGGTGCAGCAACTATTACTATTACAACACTGTGTGAAGCAATCAAACCAACCCTACAAGCATCTGGCTCAGGAACATTCCCTGCCGAAGACCCAGATATGCAGGTAATTGTGGGTCAGCTACCCAAGAAATCATGTTGTTTATACCATAGTTATTTAAATATGGTGCATTAAAGTGGTTTCGTAGGGTAAATAGGGATAATTGTGAATGGATTTTTATTATCGGAAGTCAAATTAGTCAATATTGTTCTCTGACTTGTTCATTTCATTATTTATAATTGTAACAACCTTTCATTGTTATATAGGTGTTGAAAAATTGTTGCCTGCATATTGTCATAACAAAGTGTTTTTGAAATGAAATTGTTGTGTAACATAAATGTTTTTGTTTCTATATAACAAAGTGCTTAATGTACACTCCTTCGGGGAATAGTGAGTTTTGTTTTCCCTTGATTCTCAATGTTTACCTCTTGGGAAAACAAGACTCAATATTTCCCTCGGGAGCATAAATGAAGTGTATATTATAACTTGATAGAAAGTCAGAGGTTGAAAGTCACACATGCACACATATGGCATGCCCCCCTCCCTCCTCTTCAAATTAGCAATTAAATTTATCTTCACTTTTATCTTGTAGGGAAATTAGCCACATATGATAGCCACATATTTAGGACATCATCTATTGGCCGCAATTTAGAAGGGGTCAATTTTGAAAATGACGTTCTCTTAAGTGATAGTGGCTATATGCCTGTATGCCTTATACAATGACCCTATACCCAGAACCACAGACACAGCCCCAGCGATGATTTAATCGAGCACACAGAGTCACAAGGTGTATTATTGAGAGAACTTTCGGGATCCTGAAATGGGGCTTTCATGTTTTGCATGATGAAGTGAAAATGTGTCCAGAGAGGGTGTGCACCATTGTCACCTCATGTTGCGTTTAGCATAATATTGCCATTGGTCCGAATGAGCCAATTGATCAGGAAGAGGAAGAACTCCTGATGGAAGAGGACAACAATTATAATGGTATTGATTCTGGAGCAGCAATTCGAAATTATATTGCAGCAACATACTTTTAATGAAATATATTCACATTTCAATGTAACTCTTTATATAGAACATTTAAAGATTTCTTAATTTTTTATGTTGTATATACATGCATTCAATTTAATTGTGTTAAATAATTTATTCTTCTAAATATAAGTGAGTTTTATTCAGTATTTGAGTATTATACTATATTATTATATTTGTAAAAGGCCCGTTGTTCAATTTTGATTTCAAAGGATGTGTTAGCCCTCAACATCTCAACTTCGCCACTTTCTTCCCCACTTTTTAACCCAAGTTTTTTTGAGTTAGGGTTAGAGTTGGGGTAAAGGTTAGGGCTGTGTTTAATTTTGATTTAATTCGACTTAAACTCTAAAAACTAGACTAACGGTCATTTAGTACATTTTGGGGTCCGGCTGAACTCCAAGGGCCGGTTGTTTAAAAGCGGGTTAACGCTAACCCTGGGTTTAAACCAGGGTTAATTTTTTCTTAGTTGATTTCCATTAAAAGCCCGCTTAGCGTTAATCCTGAGTTAAAATTAATAAAATAATAACCCTGCTAGCTAGGTGGTTTAACTTTTTAATCCTGGATTAACTTCGATTCAAAATGTATGAATAAGGAGCGAAAACACGTAAACCCGTACAATTCTTTATGAATTATACACTTTTGAAAGGTTTTACGAACAGTTTCGGACAGCTAAGGATTATGTAAGTTTGACTTCGTTCTGTTTCAGCTAATGTATTGATTTATTTATCTTCGCTTCAATGCAATACATGATAAATAATTGGATATATGCAACCGTGCAAATTGAAACATCGTAATGAAAATATTTGTTTCGGATGCCATTGTATCAGGCATCTTAGCTGATCATTGTATTTCAGACTAACCCAGGGTTAAATTTAACCTTCTTTTGAACAACCGGCCCCAAGTCTCCAAGTACCTCTTGTTTAAACACTTAAAGTTTGTGAAGTTTGTAAAAGCCATTATAACCATTATCTTCCTATGCACATATGTGCCCCCCATTGCTTATCAATTAATATCCCCTTCTATCCCTCCTCCAGCCACACCTAATTAGAATTTTCTTTAGAACACAACTTGGAAAGTACTGGCATATTAAAGGTGGCAAATTTTACAAAGAATTGACAGAAATCAAATCATCACATGATTGGAAGGACATGGTGACATTTTATTTAGGCTGTAGCTTTGGTATGGAGGATGCTTTGGATAAAGCTAACGTCAAGTTACCATTGACAAACAAAAATGTATCAATGTATATTTCAAACATACCATGTAATCCATCCGGTCCATTTTCAACAAACATGGTGGTGTCGATGAGATCAGTTCCAAAAGAGCTCTTGCAGGCCTTGTTTGAGGCAACATATGTTTTAGATTCTTCTCATGGGGCACCTGTGCACATTGGTTCTCCGACAGACATAGGGATCAATGATCTGCAAAAGATAGACCTTGGCGACCTGACTGCCATAGCAGAGAATGAGGTACCAGTGTTCTTTGCTTGTGGTTTTACAGGAAGTAAAGCAATTGAGTCTGCAGGTAGGTGAAGGCATGGGTGTATTGATCTATCAAGGTGGGTTTCTGATTTCTCCAGGGGCTCAAAAATTCTGCCCAAATGCATATTGCATTACTAAAGTGAATACAGGCATATTTGGTTCAATTCCTGTTACTGATTAGTAAAATTGCCCAGCAGGGATGGTGTAACAATTCACTAATCAATTGCTACTGTTGCATTAATAATTTAAAATTTATTGAGATCTGCTGTTAATTCATCCTAGTTTACATGTGGATATAACTATGATTACTATGACAATGTTTTCATCTTGGGGTTGCTGTTGGGTTGAATCATTGTTCTCATTATTATGCTATGCCACTTTGCCATGTGTGTCTTGAATAATGCTTACATGAAGTGCTTGTCTGTATCTTTGGGAACCAAGCAAGATTCACGCCTGAAAACGCTCAGGTTGATGCAATATTGATATGAACAGAATGGAACAATGTTGTGCTGCCCACATTGTTCAGAGTTGTTATCAACATTGAACAATATTGTTACATCTGATTCATTTTCAACAATATTTTTCAATGTTGTTAACAAGTGTAAACAATAATGGCAGCACAACATGTTGCATGCTGATAAACCGCAGGCACAGAGTTTTTGGGTGTGTTTAAAAATTGAATATTTTTATAATAGTGGCAATAAAGACTAAGGGAAAATTTGGTTGCTATTGTCGCTTAATAATGGCTGAGGCCGTCTTACTAACGAATGAGTTCAAATCATAGTGCAAAATTTAATTATACCGTAGATATGCGGGTCTAAAAAGGGTTTAATTTCTGTTTTAATTGGTTTATTTGCTTAGGTTTACCAGAATGTTTTTGCCATGCACCCGGTCACATGTTTATCTGTGACGAAACCACGGCCTCGTTCCAGGAATCGCATCCATCGCCTTACAAGGAACACGCGCCTTGCGTTGTTGAGATTTCCGAGAACCGTGAAAAGTTCTCCGTCCTCTCCCAAATCGCCAAAAACAAGATAACCGAATTGGAACAATTGCTGCTGTACGATATTGGAAAACGAGGAATCGAAGATATAAACGTGAAAGGGGATCTTTTGAAAAGCTTGCTGAGCTTATATCAGTCGTCTTCGGTGGGCATTACATTTGGTTTTCCCGTTTTCGGTGACGAGGCAGTAGCGGAAGAGACGGACGGCTTGCCAGGCGCGATTGATATTGCCAAAGCCCTGAGTGCTCTGGGCAAAAAGGTTAGTTTTATAATCGATAAACGCAACGAAGCTCTACTTTGTAAAATCATCCAGAAGTGTTTGCAGTTGAAGATTTTGAAGAAAGATGTCCCTTTTGTTGTCTATGAACGCGAAAATGATCGGAAAACCGCAGCTCTGCAGTTTTTGTACCCAAATGGAAGGGCGAAGGAACCTCGTTTCGATCATATCGTGTCAATCGAGCGCACGGGACCAAGTAACGATGGTACTTACCGCAGTATGAAAGCGAAGGTTCTGAAAGAAGATTTAATCGCTCCCGTGGAGGATCTATTCTTACTAGGTACGAAATAGTTTATTCATATTCATATGTTACTTAGACTCAGCGTCGCTCTCGATTAAGCGCCTTCCTTTGATTAAACGCCACCCTTGATTAAGCGCCTTCCCTTGATTAAACGCCACCCTTGATTAAGCGCCTCTTTTGTCTTAGTGCATCTGTAGCTTACCGACCGTATTAAACTGCCACTTCTCAAAACTTCTCACGCTGGTCATTTTTCCTTCAGTATAGCCGGCTCAGTTCTTCAGCCGCTGATCTTAATTTTACATAAGTCACCCGCTAAAAATATGAGCCTGTACGAATCGGAGAAATTTCGCTAATTTGGATCAGTTAGACGTTCAACAACAAGTTGAACGCCTAACTCAATATTTGATCTCTCTTACATTAGAGGAGAGGTATAACAGGAATTAAAATAAAAATAGTTTTATCTCAGTTTTAGCATATGACAGGTTTGAGACAACTTCCTGTCGTGCTCAACTTATGGCATTAGATGCACCTGTTCCAGTCGAGCCTAATTGACCGGCCCGCTTATAGATAATGTGGTCGTACTTATTCGTTTCAAACACAATACTTGTTATGCGCAACTGAAATGGCACATCAAAAGCAAGACGTTTGAAACAGACGTAAAATTATCAAAGGCGCTCGCTTCACCGCTTCAGGCCGGGCTTGGGTTTAAGATATAGTGCAAATTATGCCATAGACGTGCGTACATAAAATTTTGTTGAGTGGAGAGGTCAAGTCTTAAGAGCATGGTTTTAATTTCGATAAGAATTTACTGAACTTTTCTATTTTTCTGGGGAAGGGGTAGCTGCCACTCTTAGATCTTTGCAAAGTGCGAAGGGAAAAGTTTAAAGGCAGCTGGACGAACTAGAACATATTGAATTGTTTACTCTGTCGCCCTCTATGACACTCGAGTTTGTCGGTATTGCCATTGCCTTTGCTTGCCTGCTTAGCTCGATATATCAATATTGCGCTGTAGCTACCTTCCGCTGTCCGCCTGAAATTTAATCAAAATGAAAAACATTTTTAACTTATCACTTCCAAAGATGTATAAGTCGAACGGAATAAAAAAGAGGAAGAAAATAATCACACAACGCATTGAATTAATTAAATATATAATCATTTAAAAAATAATGCAACTATCAAAGTTTATTTCTCGGGTTCCGAAACATTAGTTTATATTCGACCTAAATTTATAAGCCTAATACAACAACTATAAAAGGCCTAATTTGCGGGATAGCAGTGCACGCAAAGCAGGCTGGTACTTTCCCTTTGTTTATATGTCCTATACTTAGGTAACCATGCGCACAAAGACTCACAGATCGTGACTCAAAAATAAATATAGACTTGCCTGTACGTGTGTGTGTTTGCTTATGAAATATGCATAACCGTAATATGGCCCTGCACGTGCAGTTGAATTTCGTTTAAACGAGTGATTATGATCATCTTTGGCGGTCACACTCGCTCTCCTCGTGCAGGCTATCAGGTCCAGGCGTCGAGTAGTTAGTTTTTGCCGATATTTGATGTGATCCTAAGTGGTTGTATTGCCATAATGCCAATTTCCTAAAGTTAAATTTCACTTCATGTTTGAGCGACAACCCGCGTCATCGGTTATCACCTGTCTGAAAACATCTGTGCGAAAAATTCTCTAACTATCTTAACGATGTCTTTGTCAAACAATGTTACGTTGAAACGTTTGCCACTATATTTAGTTCAGTTGATAAAAACGAATTTTTAAAGTTTTTTTAAAAAAAGGTGTTACCTGCTTGTCTGTCATGAGTCTCATGACAATTCCCAATGTTAAGCTCCTGTTTGGACCGACGCGTTCTGCCACAATTGAATAGTTTAGGTTATGTTTTTTGTCTATTTTCTGCCGAGCGATGTCTTTTAAAACGAAAGAGGTTGGACACTTTGACTATTTTATTGATTGCGTGATCAAAATTTTGTGCATCGGCTATCGGGGTTATTTACATATTCATTCTTTACGTGTTTTTTTGGCAAAATAAAGCTTGTTGTGATGGCAACGTAATCCTGTGATATTCACTCTAGCGTAAACGTCGCTTCGCTCAGTAGAAAGAGAAGCGCGCGGTATCGTGCTGTTGAAGACAAATTAACAATCAACGATGTAGTGCTTTCTGGCAATAACAACGATTCCTAAAACCGACAAGTTAGTGAAGAACATCAAACGTTGAAACGTCAAACGTTACTGGCGTTGTCTCAGACAAACGTCGGCAGTGAAATTAATACCTAGCTACCGACATCGGGCGCTACCATGTATAACGTTTATTTGTGCCTACTTTTTGTGGTTACAAACGTGATCATCCACACTGGGTCGACGGATCGTGTATCTAAATTTAGCGGAGAACGTCGAAGCTCAGAACATCTTGATGCCAGCTTGAAGTTTTGTCGCAAAGGATATGCCATTTCTTCCAATGATAAACTCGCCGATAGTTTCGTGATCTTGTTGTGGTTGAGACATCCCAGAGGCAGCTGGAAAATGAATTCTACGTTTGAAAATTGGTTTCAAAAAGCATTCACCTCTCATTTTTCGCTTCTACCAAATCAAATTTCAGAAGTGACTTTCAATAAGCAGCAATACAAAGCGAACACCTTTTCTGTTGCGAGCTTTAAGTTAACCTTAACGCCATTTCAAAGCCTAGTAATGGCCAACACGAACGAACCGAATTTGAACATCACTCGCGAAAATATCGTTTTCTTGCAACTATTGAACTTCACCGGCAATTATACATTGGTTAGGGATGGGTACAATGTTTCTGTAATAAATTTAATTTCAAAACAGCTCTCGTGCTACGGAGAGGAGAAGTCACATGAAGACGACATTGACAGGGAAAATGGAACTTTTGTCCGGAATAAAACAGGAGAAAGATTGTTACTGGATTGTTACTACACTATTGTTAAAGAAGTAGGTGGAAATGTTACATTATGTCGTAAATTGGTCTTGTCAAAATGCACCGAAGGAGTTTATGAGACGATACCTCCAAACGATTACGTTACTTTTCCAAATTTATCGGTCTATCACAAATCAATGAAAAGAAAATTCTCTTTCGGAGAATATTTGATCAGGGAAAGTTCATGCAAACAAAAAAAAGACTCGACAATTGCTGTTTGTTTGTCGACCAAAACCTCCATTTACAAGAATGAAATAATTTTACCAAAAATTCTGACAAAAATTGGTTTTAGTGTTTCGATAATCTGTTTGGCTTTTCTTCTGATAACTTATGGATTATTCAAAGAATTACGAACAGTTCCAGGATTGAATCTGATGAACTTAAGTTTTTCACTGATGCTGTCACAACTCGTATGGCTGGTGGGCATTTCTTTTTTTGAGGGGACAGAAGCATGTAAAACTTTAGCAGTAATGGAGCACTATCTTCTCGAAGCATCTTTCGTTGCAATGTCCGTCATTTCACATCACACCCATCTCACTCTAGCAAAGCCTTTGGTTGGAAGGATTGCCAACAAGTCTTGGCGAAGGTTCATCGCGTGTTCGACGTTGGTGTGGGTAACTCCTGCAATATTGGTCGCCTTTTCCCTCGTTTTGGATCAAACAAATATTTTGCCAGTGAAATATGGAACAAACTGTTGGATGGGAACGGCAAATGGCAAGCTGTATTTGTTTCTACTACCCTTGGCTATACTGCTCTTTCATAATACCTACAACTTAATCCAATCAGCGCGTGGTTTATTTAGTCGTAACAAGGTCGGAAATACCTCGCGACCAAAATCGGGTCGAAAAAATCTTCTCATCTGCGCAAAACTTGCAACGCTGGTCGGTGTTCCCTGGGTGTCCTCGTTCTTTGGCATGCTGTTTCCAGGTGAAGTGGCGTTTGAATACGTAACCATCTTTTGCTGTGGTTTACAAGGATTGTACATTGCAATGGCCTTCCTCTTCAACCAGAAAACTCTGAATCTTTATAACACCCGTTTGAAAAACGTCAGCGTTTCTAATTACAACAGCAGAAGACAGATCTCGCAGACGAGGTTGCCAAAACCTGAAGGTTAAAAACACATTTTCTGTCTTTCCAGGCAGTTTGTTGAATTCAATTCTTTGACATTTCAATAGTTAAACAGCACGACCATTAGTATCATAACAATGTTAATAAAAAAAGGGAAAGGAAATTAACAGGGGCACCGGAACGATGCGAGCGTAAAGGGAGGAAGGTTTGGGGGAAAGCGCACTCCTGTAATAATAAAGATAATAATAATAAAGAATGTTTGCCAAATATCGTATCTTCGTGTTTTCTCTTTCCCAGATAATCTCGTTGTTTTGGGGTTTTTTTACTAGAAGATTGTTAGAATTTCTAGAAGAAAATTCTTGATGCTCCCTTGTGGCACCTTGCCCCCCCCCCCTTGCGGCTGCTAATCAAAGGCAAGGGGGCAGCTGCCCCTGCTACGTTCCCCTGTTCTGACATCCCTTAAACTAGCATTATACCGTAGAATGCATATTCGTCTTATGATATTAAAAATCTGAAATATACATAGTTTAACGCATGGATCTTGTCCATTAGCGTCAGATGAATCGTATTGTTTTTTATGATTCCATGAACATGCATTTCTTCTCAATGATAATTTTTCGCCTTTTGATCTTTTTCGATCAATTATTTTTTGATAATTTAATAAGTTTTATGTTCTGGATTGGATTTTATTAAATTGTCAGCCGGGCCAACCTAGAAGGACTTTTTAGGGTCCACTCAGCGGAAAAACCTAGTCGCTGTGAGCTGACATCAAATAGAGAAATAAATAAACTTAATCATTTAAAGAAAACTTAGGGTACAAACACAAGATAGCTCGGTGAGATTTTCAGGGCAAGTGCGTTTATACGTACCGTACATTGATCATCTTGTGATGTGAAATATGAACTACGCTGATGTTTTTCGTCAGCGTCAAGTGGCGCGTCTCGCTTTTGACAACATGATACTTAGTCTATCAGTTGGTCTTTTGTATGATAATTTAATTTTGCTCGATTCTACACTCGAAATAACGTA